CACGCCTCCTATAGCCCTCCAAAAAATATTCTTAAAAAATCCACGCCTCTTATAGCCCTCCAAAAAACATTCTTTAAAAAATCCACGCTTCCTATAGCCCTCCAAAAAACATTCTTTAAAAAATCCACGCTTCCTATAGCCCTCCAAAAAACATTCTTTAAAAAAATCCACGCTTCCTATAGCCCTCCAAAAACATTCTTTAAAAAATCCACGCCTACTATAGCTTAAAAAATCCACGCCTCCAAAAAATATTCTTAAAAATCCACGCCGAATATAGCCCTCCAAAAAATATTCTTAAAAAATCCACGCCTACTATAGCTTAAAAAATCCACGCCTACCCTCCAAAAAATATTCTTAAAAAATCCACGCCTACTATAGCCCTCCAAAAAATATTCTTAAAAAATCCGCGCCTACTATAGTCCTCCAAAAATATTCTTAAAAAATCCACGCCTACTATAGCCCTCCAAAAAAATATTCTTAAAAAATCCTCGCCTCCCATCGCTCTCAAAAATATTCTTTAAAAAATCCACGCCTCCTATCGCTCTCAAAAAATATTTTTTAAGAATTCCACCCCTCCTATCGCTCTCAAAAAATATTCTTTAAGAAATCCACGTCTCCTATCGCTCTTTTATGGCCCTCACCAAAAAATCCTTAAAGTCTCTCCAACTTACCTTAACAAATCGAAAGATTTTCCTCACATCATCATTCGTGAATTTAACCTGATTCCGCAAGGAGGCAATTGGTGCTAAAGCCTGTACAAATTGTATACGCTCATTATACTGTGGCAGCAGGGAGCACAATACCAAAATGGCATTAAAAGCCTAAAAATGGAAAATTGGGAACAGACAAAAACGCAAACAATCAAAATGAGGGGTAGCATCATTTTTTGGGGCGGAGGAAAGGAAAATATTTGCATAAGTGTGAGTGTGCCCGGACTCACCTGGGAGTGGGCAATTAACCAAACTTGATGAAATGATGTTTCATTGCGAATGTGGTCAACAATGGCTGGCAGATCGTAACGACCCCATTCGTGGAAGCTGAAACTCCAAAATTCGGCATCCTTGATGGTGAAGCGGGAATGATTGCGGCCATAAGCTGAGCCTCGTAAATTGGCCAACCAAACATCATGTTGATTGTTAAACAACTGAAAGGCTACAAAGGATGTCAAAGGAGGTGGGTTTCCCAGGAACAACAATAACAACAAAAGAATGGAGGATGGACGACACGTCAAAAAATGAAATGATAAACTCGTGAATTTAATTAGTTCTTTCATTTGTGTTGAATGTTGCTTACCCAAACTTTTCCCCGGTCCCATTATAACCCAGGCCAGGGAAGAGGTCAGCAAACCATGCAGCAGTAATATGGGACTTGAACCCGGTCTTGGCAGGCGATGTAGAGTTAGATTGTAACCATCTTCGGTTACCACGTAATGTATTTCCAATGAATAGTTGTGATTGCGAATCCAATCGCTCTAAAATTTAACACTGGCCTTTTAATTGAATTTTCAAATTAAATTACAAAATATCTACCCACCGTTGTCCACTTAAGTTTTTCATATTTTCCCGAATTTTCATCAATTTCTCGAGAATTCTCATCGATTTCATTGGTATGACCATTTCCTCTGTTCGATTTGCCAAAAATATTCCAAAATAATGGACCATCCCTTGAATTGGAATGGAATCGAGGCCAACATGCTGTCGTCTGGCAATTTCCAATAACTTCACAAATCGCCAGCAAAAATAGAAGTATCGACTGTCGTGTTTTACTTTGTTTAGACATTTAAAACTTTTACTTTTTAGATATTTTTGTGTTGGTTTCCAAATGGCCATGGTAATTTTGATCGTATGTGTTGGAAAATTTCATGGTAGAATGCGAGCTAATTGTTAACGTATCGTTTGTTGTAATCAGGAATCACAAACATTTTCGGAATATGCCACTTGTACTAATATATTACTATTTATATATTAGTACAAGTGGCTCAATGTTGGTGTTTTAGAGGAGGCTTATGCTTCACTATGCGTGTGTACGCATGTATTCTATTTTTGGGTGAACTCATATTTTTTATTAATTTTACGTCTTTTAAATTTTAAAAATCAAGGAGTATTGCGACCCTGGAAAACGTTACTTACTTACTTAGCTGGCTTGTAACAGAACTTTTGGGCAGTTTTTCCAATTTGAAAGACCATATTCGGCAAATGTTATCTTCCACTTGGTCTTTGCAGCTTATTCGCGGCCTTCCCCATCTTCGTGAACCATCAGCTGGTTCGCTTTTATATGCCTTCTGGGCTGGGGCATCTTCATCCAGTCTCACAACATGACATAGCCAATGTAGTCGCTGCAGCTCAATACGTCTAACAATGTCGATGTCCGAGAATAGCGAATGAACCATGGACATCACCGTCAACGCAGATCGGCACATAGATATTACGAAGAATTTTTCCCTCAAACACTCCAAGAGCTGCCTCATCTGCTTGCGCAAGTACCCATGCTTCAGACCCATATAAAAGCACGGTAGTATCAGCGTCTCGTAGAGTGTGAGTTTGGTCTGGTGGGAGGTGGCCTTGCTTTTGAGTTTTTTTGCTCAGGACATAGTAGCATTGGTTGGCTATCATTATCCTTCTCCGAATTGATGATATTCGTTTTATTTGTGGTGGCACTAAGGTATATAAAATCGTTGACTACCTCGAAACTTTAGTTCTCAAGTTCCACAGTTGGTCCGAGTCTACTGGACGTCTTGCGCGTTGATACCATCAGCTTGGTCTTCTCGCCGTTTACTGCCAGACGCACTTAGGCAGACTCCTTCTAAATTTGTTCAACGGTGGCTGTTACCGCCCTCAGAGTTCGACCCATTATGTCGATGTCATAGGTGTAGGCGAGTAACATGTGTTGTTTGGTGTAATGAGTGCCATTTCTGTTCACTTTTGCCTGTCGTATGACCTTTTCCAGCAGGATGTTAAAAAAGTCACATGACAAACTGTCACCTTGTCTGAATCCTCGAGTGGTCCTTTCCGACTTTATGATGTTGTGTCAGTTAAAGTTATCCTGCATAGCCGTGTTAGTTATCCTATATAGCCGTATTAGCAGGAATGCCAAACGTAGACATGTAGTAGACTTTAAACACCTCTGAACGGATAAGACAGTCAAATGCGGCTTTATAGTCGACGAATAGGTGAAATGTGTCAATGTGTTTTTCGTGGATTTTTTCCAGGATTTGACTCACAGTGAAAATCTGGTCAATGGTGGATTTGCCAGGTCTGAAGCCGCATTGGTATGGTCCAATGTCATTGACCATTGGCTTCAGTCGTTCACATAGTACGTTGGATAGCACTTTATATGCGATGGGAAGAAGGCTAATTCCTCTATAGTTGCCATATATCGTCTTGTCTCATTTTTTTGTGCACGGGACACAGGATATTGAGGTTCCAATTATTGGGCATACATCCTCTAACCAAATTGTACTAATCAGCTGGTGCATGCTCCTTGCCAGCATCTGACCACCAGATAGTTCGGCATGTAACTCATAGGCACATGCTGCTTTATTATTCTTCAGCCTATTGATAGCTATTCTGACTTCATCTTGGCTAGGTGGTGTACACTCTATACCGTCGTCTTTATTGGTTCTGGGGTGTCCTCTTAGTCGCTACTATTTGATACCAGAAGCTTCTCAAAATGCTCCTTCCAGATCCTCAACACGCTGTCTGTATCTGTCACCAGGTTTCCTTCTTTATCTCTACAGGAGGATGTGCCTGCACCAAAGCCTTCGGTTTGGTGTTCTGCCCGTTGGTAGAATTTTCGGATCTCATTCTGACTCCTGTACATCTCCATTTGCTCACGCTCACGTTTTTCTTGTTTTTTCTTCTTTTTTCTGAAAATACGTTTCTCCTCTATCCTTATCTCCCGATAGTTCTCCATCGCAGGGTTGCCCCATACGCTGCGTTTTTTATATCAGTAGCATTACGACACTCCTGATCGTACCACGGATTTCTTGATGGTGGTCTTTGGTACTCAAGTGTTGCTTTTGCTGCAGTTTGTATGGAGTGGGCAATTCTCTGCCATTGTGCTTCTATATTATTTTCGGGACAAAAAGTGCTTTCGTCAAGCACGTGGGTAAGTTAAGCGAGGTAGGCTTCTGCTATCTGTTGTGTTTGCAGCTTTTCGACGTCAAATTTCCGAGTTACATTAGGTCGCACTTTTGCTGCTACATTAAGACAAGGTAATGGTCCGAATCGATATTCGCTCCTCGGATCGATCGGACGTCTAAAACACTGGATGAATGCCTTCCGTCTATCACAACATGATCAATTTGATTTCTCGTTGTTGGATCTGGAGAAATCCAAGTGACCTTGTGTATATCGAGATGCTTGAATCTGGTGCTGCTTATTACCAATTTTTTTTGCTGCCGCAAAGTCAATCAACCTCATGCCGTTGTCTGATGTTTCTTCATGGAGGCTGAATTTTCCGACAGTGGGACCAAAAATATTTTCCCTTCCGATTTTTGCATTAAAATCTCCTAGCAGAATTTTAATGTCATGGCCAGGCCAACGGTCATATGCTCTTTCTAGGCGCTCGTAAAATATGTCTTCGGTTTGTTCATCTTTACTTACGATTTACTTACGCCAGTCCCCTTCCATCGCATTTCCTGTAAGGCAATAATATCGGCTTTGTACTTCTTGAGTACATCCGCCAAATCGAACACTGCGCCTGTTCTGTACAATGTGCGTACATTCCAAGTGCAGATTCGAAGATCGTGGTCCTTTATACGTTTGCAGGGGTCGTCAACATTAGGGGGGTTTGGTTTTCTTTTTCTTTGCTTTTGCATAGTAGGTTCGGTTTTCCGAGTGTTTGCAACTAACCCGACGCATCAGTCCATTTTTTTATAGTTCTTATGGGTGAACTCGCGGCACATATTAGCTCACTATTTCATCGGGTGATGAAAATAGGTGGCACCACGGGGAGGTCAGTGTGCACAATTGAGATGAAAGAGGGACCAAGCCTAAACATATATTTGGGTCTTTGAAAAAAAATTATTTTAAAAATCCACGCCTATTGAAGTGCTTGAAACAATTATTTTAAAAATCCACGCCTATTGAAGTGCTTGAAACAATTATTTTAAAAATCCACGCCTATTGAAGTGCTTGAAACAATTATTTTAAAAATCCACGCCTATTGAAGTGCTTGAAACAATTATTTTAAAAATCCACGCCTATTGAAGTGCTTGAAACAATTATTTTAAAAATCCACGCCTATTGAAGTGCTTGAAACAATTATTTAAAAATCCACGCCTATTGAGGTCCATGAAAAAATATTATTTAAAAAATCTACGCCTATTGTGGTCCTTGAAAAAAATATTTTTTAAAAATCCACGCCTACTGATAGTCGGTCCTTGAAAAAATTATTTTAAAAAATCAACGCCTTTGTCAGTCCACAATTTTTTGTTTTTTTAATTCCATCACTCCACTTATAACACCCTTTTCTTCCAATTCGAAATAAACCAAATAATTAATTAGCACTTTGTAGTTTAAATATTTTTGCTTGTATATTTCATCTTCACCCGCTATGCGGGTTGGATGTAATATCTCCCGTATCTTGACATTATGGTGTCAAACATGTTTCACAAAATGACCGCAATACACACCCATACACACAAACACACACACACACACACTTAGTCACATAAATTATGTAATCTCCGGGATGACATCTTTTGATCCGACATCAAGATTTACAAATGTGTGGTGGAAAAAAATTAAAGGAAACGAAAGCAAAGCAAAGAAAACCAAAACAAAATACCGACAAAGCATCACTTTTACTTTTCATGAATATTCATGACCAACAAACGATCGGTCGGTCGGTCGCTTGGTCAATATGTTAATTGAAATCATTGGAAATGGAATTGGGATTATTGAGCGAGCTTGAGAGCTGATGTTGTCAGTGGTCAGTATTGTTTGGATTATCTGATGGTTTTTTTCCTTGTGTCGACCGTAAATAAGTTGCAGATGATAATCATCCACACATCGCCATGGACAGACGACCAGTGGCCGGTCTGTGTTCCAGTCAAGTCGTAGTGTGTCTTACTGACATATTAACCAAAAATAAAACAAAAAACAATAAGAGATGCACATTATTCGTGGAAAGTAGTAGTGTATCTCACAAGTATGTATTTATCTTGGCCAACATCAACAACACTAACAAAAACATCTGCAGCAGCAACAACAATAACAACATCGAACCACGGTAGCAGATAAATTAATTTCTTTGTTATTCGATGTCAATGGTTTGGTTCGGTCGGCCGGTTGGTTGGTGGGGTTGTAGGTAGTTTGGGTCTGTTGGCTATGTTACCGTTTCGTATCTGGGATTTGGGTCAGTTTTATTTACATCATTTCGTTTCGTTGTTGTTGGCGATGTTGTATATTTTTTGGACCTGTTCGTAAGGTGGTTTCGAGAAACTATTATTATGCTGTAACAGAGTAAAAGCCACCCATCACAAGAAGCGAAAGAAACAAAACTTTCCATTGAGATGGTTAAAGTTTTGTGCGGACTTGATAAAGAAATTGCATAAATAATTAAATATTCATTTTTATTGCATTGCTCCATTCTCTTTGTTGGCGAAATAAATACAAAAACATGGAAATGGGTCCTTGTAAATGAGAGGACCTGCAACAATATTAAATGTTGAATAATGTGTTTTAAAGGCCTTTAAAAGACAAGCAATTTAAATTATTAAGAAAGAAAGACTATCTGTAAATTTTCTACAAAGATCTATAAGGTCTATGAAGGGTCTATGTGGTCTTCTTTGGGAAAACTCCAGGTATACTCTAGTAGGATGACCAGTATTTAAAAAAATTGGGGTATAAAAATCAACGCCGATTGTAGTCTTTGAAAAAATCAACGCCGGTGTTGCTACATAAAATAATATATTTAGTCCTTTAAAATATTATTTTAGAAATCCACGCTTATCTTAGTCTTTGAAAAAGTATGTCCTTCAAAAAATAATTTTTAAAAACATCAAGCCTGTTGTGATTATTTAAAAAATGTCATTACTCCAATTTGCAACTCCTGTTCGAACTGAAATGATCTGTAAATACTCCTATCGGAACCCCGATAAGATGTTCTCCCCTATAGTAGAGAGACATATGAGATCTCCTATAGGATGGGGACCTAAAAGGTCTCCTATATGAAAATGACCAGTCTTGAAACGAAATCGAATTTAAAAATCTACGCCTATTGTAGACCTTGAAAAAATTCTATTGTAAAAATCAACGCTGGTGGTGGTCCTTGAAATCCTTGAAATATTTAAAAAATCCACGCATTTTGTAGTCTTTGAAAAATATACGTCGATTTGACCCTTAAAAACACTCCTTAAAAAAAAAATTGCGCCTGTGTGGTTATGAAAAAAAATTAAATTTCTGCAATTTGAACACCTTGTTTTTAATTCGAACTAAAATGATATGTGTATAATCCTATGGGAACACCGAAGATATATTCAATAGGAAGAACGATGATATATGATGAGGTGGACCTATAAGGTGTACTACATGAGGATGACTAGTATTCGCAGAAAACTTGAGCACTAAAGGGTGGTCATCTTTAGAAAAACCAGAAATCTTTTAAGGAAGACTCTTGAGGTCTTTATTTGGAAGACTTATGCAAACTTCTACAGGAAAACCTATGAGGATTTCTACTGATAGTTTGGTAAGATATTTTATTGGATGACCTATAAAGTCTTCTATAGGAAAAATTCGCCTATGTTGTATTGTAAAATAAAGCTTTGTGGGGTACGAAAAGCATTTTTTAAAAATTATACGCCTTTCAAAAAGAAAGCATGCTGTGTCTGATTAGAATATAAATTATTATAAATTATAGGGGCAGGCGGTCGATGTTATAAGGAATATTACACAGCGTTACTTCAATTCAAACAAACGTATAACGAATTCACAATATAGTCCTCTTCTGGTCCCGGAAGATACCCATCATTTTCTGAGTAATTATCCAAAAGTTGGGTATAAACTCATTAACTGCCGAACCACTTGATGTAGGCTGCCACCATTTGGCTCGGATGGTTTTTAATGTCAAGGCAAATAATGGAATGGAAAATGGTGTCTCTTGGTCTAATTCTTGATACGGTCACCATATAACCGTACCTTCCGATTTAATGTATTTCTTGTCTATTAGACATACGCGATACACTTTCTGAAAGCCCTTTCCAACGGTATATGGAAAGGTGAATCACTCTCACCCGTTTTCGCACAATGGGCCCTGACATTTTGCTATATATATCTTTTCTTAAGGGACCGTATATGGATATTTTTAATATATTTAGGGCCATACCCGATACACATTCTGAAAACCCTTTCAATGCCCTTTCCAACGGTATATGGAAAGGTGAATCAATCTCACCCGTTTTTGCACAGTGGGCCCTGACATTTTACTATATATATATTACTATATATATTTTTCTTAGGGGACCGTATATGTATATTTTTAATATATTTAGGGCCATACCCGATACACTTTCTGAAAGGGACCGTATATGTATATTTTTAATATATTTAGGGCCATACCCGATACACTTTCTGAAAGCCTTTCAATTCCCTTTCCAACGGTATATGGAAAGGTGACTCACTCTCACCCGTTTTCGCAAGGTGGGCCCTGACATTTTACTATATATAATTTTCTGAAGGGACCGTATATGGATATTTTTAATATATTTAGGGCCATACCCGATACACTTTCTGAAAGGGACCGTATATGTATATTTTTAATATATTTAGGGCCATACCCGATACACTTTCTGAAAGCCTTTCATTTCCCTTTCCAACGGTATATGGAAAGGTGACTCACTCTCACCCGTTTTCGCACAGTGGGCCCTGACATTTTACTATATATAATTTTTTAAGGGGCCGTATATGGATATTTTTAATATCTTTAGAGCCATACACGATAAACTTTCTGAAAGCCCTTTCAATTCCCTTTCAAACGGTATATGGAAAGGTGACTCACTCTCACCCGTTATCGCACAGTGGGCCCTGACATTTTACTATATATAATTTTTTTAAGGGACCGTATATGGATATTTTTAATATCTTTAGGGCTATACACGATAAACTTTCTGAAAGTCCTTTCAATCCCCTTTCACCCGTTTTCGCACAGTGGGCCCTGACATTTTACTATATATGTTTTATATATCTTTTCTTAAGGGACCGTATATGGATATTTTTAATATATATAGGGCCATACCCGTACACATTCTGAAAGCCCTTTCAATGCCCTTTCCAACGGTATATGGAAAGGTGAATCAATCTCACCCGTTTTTGCAAAGTGGGTCCTGACATTTTACTATATATATTTTTCTTAGGGGACCGTATATGTCTATTTTTAATATATTTAGGGCCTTACCCGATACACTTTCTGAAAGGGACCGTATATGTATATTTTTAATATATTTAGGGCCATACCCGATACACTTTCTGAAAGCCTTTCAATTCCCTTTCCAACGGTATATGGAAAGGTGACTCACTCTCACCCGTTTTCGCACAGTGGGCCCTGACATTTTACTATATATAATTTTTTTAAGGGACCGTATATGGATATTTTTAATATCTTTAGGGCCATACACGATAAACTTTCTGAAAGCCCTTTCAATTCCCTTTCCAAAGGTGTATGGAAAGGTGACTCACTCACACCCGTTTTCGCACAGTGGGCCCTGACATTTTACTATATATAATTTTCTTAAGGGACCGTATATGGATATTTTTAATATATTTAGGGCCATACCCGATACATTTTCGGAAAGCACTTTCAATGCCCTTTCAACGGTATATGGAAAGGTGACTCACTCTCACCCGTTTTCGCACAGTGGTCCCTGACATTTTACTACATATATATTTCTATATATAATTTTCTTAAGGGACCTTATATGGCCGCATCACCAAGGTGGTGTGCGTCTTCGCTAAGGTGGTGTGCGTCTTCGCTAAGATGGTGTGCGTCTTCGAATTCATTTTCACACACATAATTTTAAGATAAAATTGGCACAGAGAGTTCACTATGAGTATCAAATATCCATAAAAAAATTAGATGTAGGTCCACGTTATCTGGTAGCCCTCATACAAAGGTATTCCTATATCGAGTATTTATCCAAACATTGGGTATAAACTCATTAACTGCAGAATCACTTGGCAATGGCGGTCAAAATTTGCTATTGTGACACCTGTTATGGTATTTTAAAACATATTCTTTAAACAAAGCTCGCCTGTTCTGCCCCTTAAATATTCTAAAAAATACAAAAAAATCTTCTGATCTTGTAAAAATGATTTTTAAATCAATAGATTGCTTAAAAAATACTATTTGCCATTTCTTTTTGACTTTTTTAATTTTTCAATTTTAAGTTGGGTGATTAGGAATTCATAGCACATACGATGTATGTCGCTTAAAACTATAATTTATGATAGCGTATTCCAATAAATTGTATAAAAAAAAAATTGGCTGACAGATAACCATTCAGCAGCTGGAAGTTTACCAATATACGCTACGCAGTTTTCTAAGAAAAAGTTTCACATTTCTTTTCAAAATTAAGTTAATCGACTGTCATTATACAGAGTGTGTGATTTTTTTAATCAACAAGTCATCCTTGCAAAAAGAGTAGCCAATATGTAGAACTCAAGCATGATTACAATATAACCCATACATAAGATTACATTAGTTTGATAGTCTGTGAGAGGAGCATGATTAAATTTGTTTACAATTTTAAACCGATAAATATTCTACACATTTTTGAATCTCCGAAAAATATATATCTGTATATAACGGTAAGCTATCGCACTGCTCAAAACCTTCACCATATTCCGAGAAAAAAAAACAAATACCCAAATAAATCATAGAGAACACGTCAATGAAATGCATTTAGTTAAATCGAGTTTGTTTTATTACGCTGGCAGAAGAGACGCCAAACAAAAAAAAACAAAAACACAAGCGGCACTATGTGGTAATGGCTTAAAATTAATGAGCCAGCGAAAAGAGCGATAACGCGATATTGAAAAAAAAACATGATCAATGTCCAAAGCCAAAATACAAAACAAATTACATAGACAAACAAAACAGACTGACTGAGCGACTAAACGCCTGACCGAACGACAGATTCAAAACATTTGAATGAGTTAATTTAAATGTTTTGTTTGCAACAACACCAATAAACAAAGACCCATCGTCATATATTTTGTAGGTATCATCCATCGGTCACTTAGCCAATTACAGGTGGCAACAAAAACAATAACAAATCATTTCATTTCTTTTTTATTGGACTCTTTCCTCGGTTTTTGGTCAATAATCGCACCACGCATTACGCACCCCGGACGGACAAACGACCGAGCGTTCGATCCATCGATCGACCGACCAAACGACCGTTGGCATTGAAGTACATAAACGACCCGCTCTGTTTTGACCAGCGACACAATCCAAAATACAACAAAAAATGACGACGACAACAACAACAACAACCAAAACAACACAACAACGTTAATTTGTTGGCCTTAACGTCGTAACGTAATAACTTACTTCAATGGCTTAGCAGTCTGCATTCAGCTCGGTCAGCAGTCTTGACAAAATCACCACACTAACCAAATACCGCCCGAACCGTGCGAACGGACAAAACCAATCAACCGCCCGCCAAGTAAAGAAATAAAAATAAAAGCTCAAAAATAAAATACAAACGAAAGAAAAAATTAAATAATTTCACTTTTCAACAGTTGAATAATCGTTGTAACGAAACCTTAAAACCAAACAAAAATTTAAATACAGCTCAAGGAAAGTGCAGTGTTGTTGTGATTCGAAACCGAATTTGAATATTTAAGAATATAATTTTTTGGAAAATTTGTTAAACAGAATTTGAAAATAGTTCTGAATTTCTGTGTCAAATGTTGTTGTTTAAAGAATGCAATCCGAAAACATTGTTGTTATTATGTGTAGTTCTGAATTTGGTACTTACCTTTGTGAATGGCCAATTTATCATCGACGAAGATGAGGATGACAGCAACGAGGATGAAACACCCGAAGAGAAGGCTGAAAGAAAAAGCATCGAAGAGGATTCTTATTTAACTGTGGTAAGTTGAAAGTTTTTTGAATAAAAATGAGGATATACAAATAAATATAAATATCAAAATAACGTGTGTTGACCACATTTTTGGCAAGCATTTAAGGTGGACTAGGCTTGCCTGACAAAAAAATCGCCATGCTTTTACGTTTGTTCCATCAAAGGAAGACAAGATACTAGTTTGTGGAAAAAGAAATCCATTATTATTTCGGCAGATGGCTGTACTGATAGATTTCTCGTAAAGTATCGATCAAACAATTTCGGATTTATGCTCGTTGGAGGGGTGACATTTCGTAGTAAAAAAACCAGTGAGTGGAGCAGTGTAGTCAGACTCTAACTTTCTGCCGACGTTTATTCTGAGCGTGGGCAATATTTCGTGATAGTTGCACCCTCTTGCCCGATTAAAGATCAACAGCACCTCTTCCTTACACTGACATATTTTCCGAATATTCCCAATATTGAGTACAGCCCTTCTAATTACTTGTCCAGATTTCCTTCACCGTGGATTGTGTTGTGATGTTCGGATTATAATTGTGGCCTCTAGGTCGTATCCAAAAAAAAAAAACATAAAAAATAAGTTTTCGGTCCACTTAATCCCAACATTTTTATCTGATCTTCACCAAAAATTATAGCCGATATCCCTAACCATACCTGGATCCTCATTGAACATTTCAAAGCGATCAGCGCTATATTTCCGCCCTCTAGTGTGGGCGAAACATTTTTGGTATTCCGTAACAATGTGTGACGACGACGATGTCGAAGATTTCTTCGTCATAATTTTTGTTGACGACGGAAGTGTTTGAAAAATTGTTTTTTAAGAAATTAAAAAAAAACATGACCGGACAAGAGCAGGATACATCATTCTGGAATCTATTCAATACGTAATGCAAAATAAAGTGTAAATAAAGAAAAATATATGGGATCTATATATAAATCTGAATTGTTTTTGACCAATGTCAACAGGTATCGTCTATGCGCCAAATAAAATTTCATCCCAATTGGATGCAATTTTCCAAATTTCATCCCGTTCGGATCATAATGGTGGCATGTAACTTGTTTAAAATAATACATGGATGGAGGGACATGCATAAATCGACTGAAAAATAATTCTATGTACGTATATACAAAAAATTAACCATGGGTCTATCTCGTTTCTTTTTGGTCGTTGCAAACACATTTACCAAGACATAATGCCCTGTGCCACAGTGCGGTGAAGGATACAAACACATTTTTTCCCAAAAATATGCAACAAAATAAACAGCTGACCACATTTTTAGAGATGTGTTTTTTGTTTTTATTGATATTATCGATAAATAGTCAACATCGTCGTATGAGAATTACAGAATACCAAATCCATGTCGAAGTGATGTCGATGTCGATGCGAAGTGATGTCGAAAGAGAAACGTCGTCGACAACGACGACGATATACGGAATAGGGGTGAATATCTCAGTACGTAAGCACCTGTAAATATTTAAGTGTAACTCCCACATTTGAGTACATACGACAATATAATTGGTATCAATTTAAAGGTCTACCACTCCTCTCGGATATGCTATCAACTTCTGGGGCC